TCCCAACCAGAGAAAAATCCAAAGGCTGTGAGTAGAAACATTGAGGTGCGAATCATTTCATTTCAATGTTATCCTATTTCCATTGAAATCGTCAGCTCAGACAACATTCGACGACTACACTTCCCGGAAATCCTTAGAATCAATGGGATGCTCGAATAAAAACGATAAAATTCTGCACTGCACGCACTAGAGGCGACGCGCCATTTTTGAAAATGACCGGCACGTGATTGCCAGGGATGCTCGTTGATTTGCTTCTATGTTTTCGACGATAGGAAGTATTCGCCGAGATAGCTAGCTCTTTGAAAAAATTTTCCCGCGCGCACTCGTTTGAACGAATGTCTGCGGTGACCTTCCACTCACCAGGAAAGGGTCATTAGGCCAACCCGGCCAAATGAAATGAGGTGCACATTTCTGTACGCAACATGAGACGCTGAACTCAAATCTGCTTTCATTATCTGCTGAACTCTTCTCTGAAAGGAGTTACGGAGGGTTTTTGTTGCCGCCCTTGATTTTCAGTGTCTTGCCTGCAATCACATGTTAACTGCATTATGAAAGTATCGAAAGGAGAACCGAGGGGTGGGTGAGCTTCGGTAGCGCAGTTGGTAGCGGTCTTGCTTCTCATGTAGGGGTCGCGGGTTCGAACCCCTCAGGGATTTGGTATTTTGCTTTTTTTCCAACATGGCTAAAAGCTGTTATCAATGGTCGCCTGACGCTACATCTACGAAGAGTTTGCAAGCAGATCCTCTTAAGTTTAAGCACTACTTGCCTGTGAGTGCCCATGGTGCCCGTAGTGCAGGTGCTATGCTTTTCCGTGGCAAGTAGGTACGATATTCGTATTCAGGGGATCAAACTACCCCTAAAAACGAGTTTTTCGCCAAATCTGAGGTCATGAACTAATTGAGAAAAAGCGGAGCAGTGATGGGATTACCACTCCTCAAACTCCACTTTTTTGGGTTGACCAATCATGGACGACGGGGAAAGGGGAGAGAAGGTGTTGTATTAGGAAATAATGCTTTGCAGATCTTTGGATGATGCAGACGGGCAAGCCAGACACAATTTTTGTCTATTATGAAAAGTGTTTAAAAGGTTTATTCTACCCAAGTGCCAGCCTTTTGTAATGGATTGGTGGATCGGTGAGTGACTGCCCAAATTTTCGAGGTTAGGTCAAAATTTCAGAATTCGCTAGAAGTTTGCTCAAAGGGAGAGTCTGGCTCCCTGATTACGAATATCATACTTGTTCGAAGCAAAAATGCCTGGCGCCTGCGCTACAAGCGCCCAAAGTAGTGAGGAGCGATGCCGCCCAAGTTCGTTATTAATTGCCCTTAATTCTTTGTACTGTTAACTATACGCAAGCATGTTGGACTAGCGATGTTAGGAATCTTCCTAGCTATCTTACTGCAAACGGCAAAAGAACAAACTCGCCAGGGAGTCGATCCCCTGACCTCTTTTTCGTGAGCCTCGACCACAGCCCCTGCGCTTTTCTGCTTCATAATTCCTTTCAGAGAAGAGTTCAGCAGATAAGGAACACATATTTGAGCTCAGCGTCCCAAGGCGCGTATACACATATACATCTCATTTCAATTGGCCGGGTTGACCAAATGACCTTTCCTGGTCAGCTACACCGACTGAAAATGCTGGCGTGACTTCGGAGCTTTTTTTCGATTTTGGGTTGGCTCACCGTACTGGTACTACCGCAGGTAGAGTAGAGATGTCCAGAGGAGAGGAAGGAATGGTAGCGAAGGATGTGGCCGTTCGCACGAGTTTATTGAAAGGAAATGGTTCGGACAGCACCGCAATAACTTCAAAGTATGGGAATTAGAGAGCATCGTAATTCTGCCCTTTTTGAACTTGCCTGATAGTGTCTACTGGTAAAAATCAGGCGAAAGTTACCATGAAATGCACCAAATGCCAGAATCCGCTTAATTGTCATGGGTTTTCAGTTATCCGCTCAGGTGACGTCAGTATGATGACTGCGCAGAGCCCTTTCGATACATTGACCTCACCTCATATGACAGCGTTTCGGACAGTATACCTACTAGGTTGTCCATAATTAGTGAACCACTTTAGGTATTTTGAATTCAATTTCGAATTTCTATTTTTTTATTCGATTTT